TATAGATGTAGGGCCAATTGTCCTTTTTGCACTGGCACATATGAATACCATCTTATGGTTTCACAAAGAGCATATTTATCTCTTGGAATCATGGTCTGACCAGAGTTTAGTTGCAGAAAGAAGAGAAATTCTGTTTATGCATGCTGCATACATAGCATAATAAAGGAGAAAGAACACTGGACTAAGAATGAATAAGCATTTCATATTTAAAAAAATATTATCTCATTCCATCCTTATGTCAACTCCTTTATTTTTATCCTAATTTAATAGATGAGAAAGTAGTCTCTGAGTGGGTGTAGTGATATGTTTGGCTTCAACCAGTGCTCTTTCCTTTAACGCCTCTAGTCTAGACTACACCAGCAGCCAGAAACTCTTGGCAAGACACTTCTCTCTTCTTGGTCTGGGGGTCTTCATCTATAAACTATGGGTGGGCTGAAGATTACTTAATTGCTAAGACTTTTCTTCTCCAAGGGTCTTGGCATCTTGTAACCATTAACAAATGGCTTCAGGGATGGCCTTGGCTCAAGATGAAACTCACCCGTTAATGGGTTGATTGCTTAAAATGGTGCTATTTTTAGCCACTCATCTTCGTATATGCTTCTGGTTATGCATTTGATTCCTTTGATAAGATTTGGTGTTAAATAATATTTTCTCAAAGTTTGGTCCTCTGCTTTCATTCAGGAGAGTTCTCTGGAAATTTCAACCTTGGGATACATGAGGCAGGGTGTTCAAAATGTCTTCATTTTTTCCCCCACGTATAAAGGGGATGTTTGTAGGGCACTTTTTCAATCATAAAATGGGCTGAAGTTATTTATCTTGCATATAGAAATATAATGAAATTGCTGCCTGATTGTTATCTGTGCAACCCCCAATAACAATAAGATTGGGACAGTCTGCCACACAAAGGCTATGCTGAGTAGAGAGGGCTGGGCATTCATTTGTCAGGAGAGCAGAACGATTTGCTTTTGAGGAAGCTGGTTTTCCCCTGCAGAGCTGGGCTTCTGAGCATTGCCTAGTCCCAAGAGCAGAGGGGATTATTTAAAAATAGTTAATTATGGGGTGCCTGGGTGGCTCAGTTGTTGGGCCTCCGACTTCGGCTCAGGTCATGATCTCACGGTTCCTGGGTTCGAGCCCTGCTTCGGGCTCTGTGCTGACAGCTCATAGCCTGTAGACTGCTTCGGATTCTGTGTCTCCCTCTCTCTCTCTGCCCCTCCCCTACTTGCACTCTGTCCGTCTGTCTGTCTGTCTGTCTGTCTCTCTCTCAAAATAAATAAACATTAAACAAAAATTTAAAAATTGTTAATTATTTCTAGGCTCATGGGAGAGCCCAAAGAGTGATCGGGGTTCTAAACCTCAGGTCTGTGCACGGTCAAATTTCTCTATGGTGAAATTGCATCGGGCCTGCACAATATTTTGCTTCGTTATAATAAGTTTTCAAGTGTTTCCAGTCTAAGCATTTTCCAACTTCATTTATTCACATTATCTGCCCACTCTTTGATGGCATTTGGGCTGTCATCTCTGGAACAGGGGCTCCTATATGCTGTGCTTTCATCGTGTGCTAAACATTTTACACACATATTTATTTTCAAGACAGGATTGTGAGTTAGATGTTAGCATCTCCTGATTGCAAATGAGTAAATTGAGGCTCACAAGGAAGAACTTGCCAAGGCAGGATGACTAATAAATACTGCCATGGACTGGCTGAGCATTAGGCTTGAGTCTTAATAGGTCTTGGTTTTCTTGGATCTGTTTCTTCTGTCTCCAGCGCCTTCTCAAGTGAGTGTATCAAGGGCCACTGGATTCTATGACTTGAATGTTTTCTTTCACAGGAACAACAGGGACACTGGACTTTTTCGTCACAGACTTCATTCATTATTAGCTAAACTTGAGCGACTAGGGTGCCCTGATCTTGCCTTCCCTGCAGGGATCTACC